GAAAATCGTCTTCCGGTATTTTGCTTGTGGCCCCTCATTTTTAGGTTTGGGGATTGATTAGAACTCCGGGAGTTTTTTGAAGACCTTATAACTTCTGGAGACTCTAAAAAGAGAATCAGGCAACTGCAGTGGCCTGCTGGGAGATGGAGGTTCTGATACACACTTTGCATTCGACCTTATGTAAGAATTCTCATGATAACCAGAGCAGTCATACAGCACCTTTCCCCGGCCACATACGCAAGGGGGAAATCTTCAAAGAATGGATCAGGTGCCTCTGGTCATTCTGATCATTAGAAATAAAAGTTTTGTCTTAATAGATTCTGCAGGAGGGCTCTGGCATAGGCAGGAATTCTGGGGCGTGACCATGAAGAGAGGGCACCATGGAAAAGTTGCCCCCAGGCCAGGCAGGGCAGCCAGGTCGGGAGGGATGGTGTGTTGTAGGCGTGTGGCTGGGGCTGAGCGCCCGTCCTCACTCCCACGCAGCAGCTGGAAACAGGAGGCGGCCCCTGCCTCCTGCCCTGTCGCCCAGCCCCTCTGCTGTGAAAGTGTAACCGTGAAAATGAGGCAACAAATTGATAACCTGCCCACGAAGCCTTCTTGCCCCTGCCAAGGGCAGAAGATGTTTTTACCCGTTTTACCAGGTCCTGACCTTGATGTAAAATAGAAACCAATAGTGGCTCAGTGGTTGAGTGTTGACCTATGAACCAGGAGGTCACAGTTCCATTCCCGGTCAGGACACATGCCCGGGTTTCCGGCTTGATCATTGGTGTTTCTATCTCTCTATCCCTCTCCCTTCCTCTCTGAAATCAATGAAAATCTATTTAAAGAAAAAAAGATGGGGACCAGGAAGAATTGCTCAATCCCCAATAAGGGGCGTGCCAGAGGCAGCCGGTCAAGGATCCTCTCTCATCATGGATGTTTCTATCTCTCTCTCCCTCTCCCTTCCTCTTGAAATCAAGAAACATGTATTTTTAAAAAATAGAATAGAAATCAACTCAGATGCCGACATGCCTAGGGAGGTGAACTCACGGGAACTTAGGGGAATTCGGGCAACCCTGTCCTTGAAGACCTGGTTGGCTGCAAAGAACATTAAAGAGGAAAAACTCTCTGATTTCTCGGATGATTTGAGATTTCTCGGATGACTATCGAATTTGGAATGGATAACAGCTTTGTGACTTTTTTTCTCCAAGAGGGAGAATAAATGTTGAAACGTTTGGCTCTCAAAGCAACTGAAGTGTTGGGCATTTTGTTCAAGTCGCGTTAGAAAGTCCTGCCAAACTGCCTGCCCATTCCTTTGTGATGACTTTTATTTGGAGGGGAGCCATATTTCGATTCCCGTAACCATATCTCCCACATATAAAAGGTATTTTTCCTCTAGCTTCCTTCCTTCCCCTGGCTGGGTCCTTCCGGATCGAATATGTTTGCTCAGAATTCGCCCTGGAAAATCCGCTGATTTCCTGTGGCCGGTTATTCAGGAAAGGAAAGGTAGACAGAGGGAGTAAGTGAAGGTGCTCACTGCAAACACATTCACTCTTCATTCACTCAGGTAATTTCATTCACTCAGTGTATGAACCATTAAAACATTCATGGCACCGTGCTACTTGCTGGAATTAAAGAAACGAATAAAAACCAGCCCCTCAAAGATTTCCCCTGTGTGTTTTTTGTGTCTGGTATTTTTTCCCCATTTCTTTATTTCATTTCATTTCATGGTATTCTTTTTTTAAATATATTTTTATTGATTTCAGAGAGGAAGGGAGAGGGAGAGGGAGACAGAAACATCCATGATGAGAGAGAATCATGGATCGGCTGCCTCCCGCACGCCCCACACTGGGGATTGAGCCCCCAACCTGAGCATGTGCCCCGACCGGGAATCGAACCATGACCTCCTGGTTCATAGGTCGATGCTCAACCCCTGAGCCATGCGGCGGGGCTCCTTGTATTCCTTTAGCTTTTGATTGGGGAGAGTTTTTAATAGGGACTTCATCAGGAGTCCTTCCTGAGAGACTGGTTTGTGAGAGCAACGCCTCTCCAGTGTCAGAATAGGTCAGATTGCTGTGCAGTTCTGGGCAGGAGGGAGGCTCAGCCTCGAAGCTAAAGTAGGAACCTCGAGTCTCAGCTTGCTTACTAGCTGGGCGTGCAAGCCAGTCATTCCCTTTCGCAAGACTCCATCCCTGGCGCCCGGTTAGCAGTCTCTAGGATCCTGGCGGGTAGACGCCAAAGAATGGGCAGGTTCTCTGTAACCTTTGTCATTCTTTGCAGTAACGAGGAAAATGCTATACAAATACCAGGAAGCCTGTAATTGATTATCTCTGAACCCGTGAACGCAGAGCCATGCGGTCATGACAAGTGATTCTTACCCTTTGCTGTTCCCTTTCGCCTCCAAGCCAATGGATTCCAAAAATGTTGCTAATTAACTTGACTAAACTGTGCTGGTCTTAGGAAAGCTCCCAGAATGGGCTGGCTTGGCCTTTGCGTTGCTCACACAGCTAATACATTCAGGAGAAGCCGCGGACTGATGAGAAGAGTTCCTGCCGCAAACTGCTTTCAGGAAAGCTCTGAGCGCCTTTCCAGAAATCTGTAATTATTGATGCTGATGCATTTCCCTGTGAGACACACCAGAGCTGGCAATAAGCTCTTTTTTATGATACCCTTAGGGGCACATGCACATGTGATAAAATATTTAAAAGCAAGCCCGGCCGGCGTGGCTCAGTGGTTGAGCATCGACCTATGAACCAGCAGGTCACTGTTCTATTCCCGGTCAGGGCACATGCCCGGGGTGCGGGCTCGATCCCCAATGGGGGGCCTGCAGGAGGCAGCCGATCAGTGATTCTCTCTCATCGTTGATGTTTCTCTCTTTTTCTCCCTCTCCCTTTCTCTCCGAAATCAATAAAAATATTTTTTTTAATAATAACAAGTAAGAACAAGACCATGGTAAAGACTGAATTCAGGATTGTGGCTGCATCAGAGGAGTGTGCTAGGGTATGGGATCAAATATAAACTCACAAAAGCTTTAATGCAGGATTTCAGACTCGTGGGACTGTCAGCGTGCGGGCAGGCCCAGTCTTTGCTGTGGGGGCTGCTCTGCGAGTTAGCAGCATCCTTGAACTCTACCCACCTGATGCTGATAGCGCTCCTCTCCCCAGTTGTGACAAACAAAAATGTCTCCAGGTAGAACTCATGTCCCCCGGGGACAGGGGGACAAAATTGCCACTGATTGGGAAGCACTGCTTTAATAGATTGTTAAGCCCTGGCCGGGTATCTCAGTGGTTAGAGCACCAGCCTACAGACCAGAGTGTCACCGGTTCAATTCCCAATCAAGGGCATGTACCTTGCCCTAACTGGTTTGGCTCAGTGGATAGAGCATCGGCCTGCAGACTCAAGGGTCCCAGGTTCAATTCCAGTCAAGAGCATGTACCTGGGTTGTGGGCACATACCCACTAGGAAGTGTGCAGGAGGCAGCTGATCGATGTTTCTTTCTCGTCAATGTTTCTAACTCTCTATCCCTCTCCTTTCCTTTCTGTAAAAAATCAATAAAATATATATTTAAAAAAAAAAAAGGGGGCATGTACCTTGGTTGCAGGTTCCCAGCCCCAGCCAGGGTGAGTGTAAGAAGCAGCCAATCAATGTGTCTCTCTCATGTCACTATTTCTCTCTCTCTCTCTCTCTCTCTCTCTCTCTCTCTCTCTCTCTCTCTTTCTCTCTCTCTCTCTCTCTCTCTCTCTCTCTCTCTCTCTTCCCCTCCCCCTCCCTTCCACTCTCTCCAGGAATCAATGGGAAAAATATCCTCAGGTGAGGATTTAACAAAAAAAAAAAAAAAAGAAAGAATGGTTAAGGTTCTAGTTTTTAGAAAGATGGAAGGTTCACAGGTGTCTATACGTATATGGTGCTTCCTAATTGTAGTTTACATATGTCCTCTTGAATCTATAAATGTTCGGTCATAAAATTTATTGAAGCTGATGATAATATGCTTTCAACAGGTGGCTTTCTGGAAATAAAATTGCAGGTGGGATTTGTTTGATTTTCATGGTGATAATCCACAGAGAATGGGGAACTTTATTTTATTCTTTTTTACTTTTAACCACACGGTACTAGCATACTTCCTCTTGTGTCATTCTGATGAGTATTTTGACAGGATGCTTATTTTAAATCTTCAAAATTTGGAACGTTTAATTGTGCAATTTGTGCAACTTGCTAAAAATTGCATGAGTTTTCAGGCTAGAGCTGAATATTTTTAGTCAAATATTAAATATATACAGGGTGTCCCCAAAAAGATATACACACATTTGAGTAATTATAAAGGCAGTGTTTATTACAATACACTTCATTTTCGTTTAACAGCTATGTGACTCAGTGGTTGAGCGTCAACCTATGAACCAGGAGGTCAGGGTTCGATTCCTGGTCCAGTCACGTGCCTGGCTTTCGGGCTCCATCCCCAGTAGGGGGTGTGCAGGAGGCAGCTGATCAGTGATTCTCATTATTGATGTTTCTATTTTGCCCTCTCCATTCCTCTCTGAAATATATATATATATATATATATATATATATATATATATATATATATATATATATATATATTGTGTGTGTGTGTGTACACATTTTTGGGGGGATATCTTGTATATATAAACGTTGTGGGGCTTCTAGAATTATGTGTGCATAAAATAAAGTACAAAATTATCTGATTGATACCTTAAAAATAACAGTCAAGACACAGAATGCCCTCCAAAACCAGCTTAAATAACAAGTCATTTATCCCGGTTGGCTTGGCTCAGTGGTTGAGCACCGACCTATACACCAGGAGGTGACGGTTGGATTCCCGGTCAGGGCACATGCCTGGGTTGCAGGTTTGATCCCCAGGCTGGGGCGCGCAGGAGGCAGCTGATTGACGATCCTCTCTCCCTGAATTGGGGTCCATGCACAGCACGAGGATTGGGGCGGTGGCTGACTGGTTGCTCGTTCAGGGCCTGGACACGGAGGCTGACGGCATCTCCTTGAACTCCTAGGCGCCGAGGTGACTTACATGAACATGTCCGCCTACAACAAGGGCCGGCTGCAGTCCTCCTTCTGGATCGTGGACAAGCAGCATGTCTACATCGGCAGCGCTGGCCTGGACTGGCGGTCTCTGGGACAGGTAACCCGCCCGCGGCGCACGCACACAATCAGGGTTTTCTCGGCATCAAAACTGCCCCGTCCCTAAAGCACGCAGTCACCTGCTGTGGTTGAGGGAAATCAACCTGCAGCATTCATTATTATTTTTAAAATATATATTTGTATTGATTTCAGAAAGGAGTGGAGAGGGAGAGAGAGCAATGATGAGAATCATTGATCAGCTGCCTCCTACACACCTCCTACTGGGAATGGAGCCCACAACCCAGGCTTGTGCCCTGACCGGGAATCAAACCTGTGACCTCCTGGTCCATAGGTTGGTGCTCAACCACTGAGCCACACCAGCCGGGCTCATTGTTAATTGTAACTGTACTGTTTGATGAGGGTCACCTTTAGGTAATGTGGAATGCTAGGCCTTTCCGTGTGAGAAACATCTTACAAAAAAAAAACTGCTTTAGGCTTTTGTAACTCACATGCATTAGATTCTCTGGAGCAGGCCAGGGTGTAATTCCTGTTACCTAAACCTAAATTTCCAGGATCCGATTACGTAATCTACGAGCTAGAGGAAAACATGTACGTTGTATAACATAGTATGTTTTAGAATAGGAATTTGTGTAATTCTTTTAATAAGTCTTAAGATGAAGATGTCATCTTTCTCTCTGTAAATAATCAATTTCAAATTTGAATTTTGAAAGTACACTTGAACCGTCTTGTCCTTTTCATGTATTTGTTTGTGTCCACGTGACCCATAGTGGATTACATCACCTTCTTCCCATTGGTCAACCGGTGGCAGGAAGTGCTGGATCATTGGTGCACAGGGAGACTTGCCCAGCACCCGGGCACAGGGCCCACACCTGCTACATTTTAGCTCAGCTCTTTAATATTTAGGTGGAGGCAACCTTGGGTAGGTTGGCCAAGGGCCGCAGGCTTGAATAAAATATCTGCGTTGGTGGGAAATCTTTAAGCTGCCGGTGATTTGGGGCCATATGGGACGTCCTTACAGAAATCTGTATCCCTCTGTTGGTTGTAAATTTAATAGCAGGGTAAACTTCACTTGGGGTGGGGGGGGGGATTGGGAAGAGGCAAGTGGAAGAAATTTTTGCATCTTTTTTCCCCCAAAACACTACTATTTATGTGCTAGACACTGTGTGAATGGCGTTAAATATACTTCTTCATTTGTCATAGCAGCCTCAGGGTGGATGTCATTTCCATCTTCCCAATGAAGACAGTATCGGAAGATAAAAACTAGAATAGATTCTATTGTTGCTCTCCTCGCCTGTAAAATAGTAAAACGCTCTATTTGCTCGGCTGGCCTTCAGATGGATCTCCAGGTGGTTGGGTCTATAATTAATTCAGTTGCGTTTTCGATGTGGTCATGGGAGGAGGCCAGCACAGCCCTGACCTGCTCCGCCATCTTGACTGGAACCTAGAGATAGTCCTTAAATCTTTAAAATATATCCTTATTGATTCCAGGGAGGAAGGAAGAGGGAGAGAGAGATAGAAGCATCAATGATGAGGGAGAATCATGGATCGGCTGCCTCCTGCATGCCCCCTCCTGGGGATTGAGCCCACAACCTGAATCCAACCTTGACCTCCTGGTTCATAGGACAACGCTCAACCACTGAGTCACACCGGCCGGCTGGATCTTAGAATCTTTAGATTGATGGGTTAGTTGGCAGAATCTGCATCTTTCATTTTATTCCTGGCAATTTGGGACTCAGGTATGAACCAGCCCGAAGTTGCCATGTTCTCATCTTTCTGCTGCTAAACCAAACTCAAAAACTAAAAGAAATCTCGTCTCTATTCTCGTAACAATCTTTCCTATTTTTCTGCTGGAAGAGACTCTATTCTTTGATGGGGGTGGAGAGGAGACAAAGCTGAGGAAGGAGAAGGATTTAAAACTCTTCTGGCCCTGGCCAGTTTGCTCAGTGGATAGAGCGTTGGCCTGCAGACTGAAGGGTTGCGGGTTCGATTCTGGTCAAGCGCACGTAGCTCGGTTGCGGGCTCAATCCCAGTCAGGCACATGCGGGAGACAGCCAAGCTAGATGTGTCTCTCACATCCATGTTTCTCTCTCTCTCTCTCTCTCTCTCTCTCTCTCTCTCTCTCTCTCTCTCTCTCTGTCTCTCTCTCTTTCTCTCTCTCTCTCTCTCTCTCTCTGTCTCTCTCTCTCTTTCTCTCTCTCTCTCTCTCCCTCTCCCTTCCACTCTCTCTTAAAAAATCAATGGAAAAAATGTCCTTAAGTGAAGATTAACAAAAATAAATAAAGTAAAATAAAACTCTTCTGCACGAACATTTCACATCCCATTAGCTGCCCTGCCCCTGTATGTCAACTGCTTACCTACGGGTGACTCCTCTTCCATCAACACCCACCCCTTCTCCTCCTCCTCTCCAGGCTTATGCACAAACGCTCTCTCCTACCTGGTCCGCCCCTTCCCTATAGTTCTTCCTATCTGGGACAATGTTCTTGCACTTAATCATTCATCTTGAATTAGTTCCCCTTTCGGCTGCACCTGACTCTGTGGGGTTTTTCTCGCTCTGCCCAGCAGGAGCCCTGCATTGGAACAGAATTTAATCGGAGCAGAGTTGTGTGTGAAGCTAACAGTGACATGAAGCATTATGATACATTTCCCAAGTGTCAAACTCAGCCTACATCAGCAGCCTGATATTTTGTGAAGTTTTCTAGTGAAATCAGATTATTGCCTTTGATGTATGGAGAAATAATAAAACTAATAAAAATACCAGCTTCAGTGTATGGAGGGATTTCTCTATACCAGGCATTCTTCTAATCAGTTAAGGTGTATGAACTCATTTAATATTTACAATAACCCGTTCTTGTAAATGCCTTCATCTCTTTATTTCACAAAGGCAGGAGCCGAGACACAAATAAGTAACATACCCAAGGTCACCTTCCCGGAAATGTCAAAGCTAGAATTCATACTCAGGCCATCTAGCTCCAAACCCCTCCCTCTTACTTCCCTGCTAATAATTTTTAAAAGTAAATTATTTATGAAAAATCATTTTTCTTTCATGATGTTGCTTGCTGTGATATCAAGCTGTTAGATTTTCTTTCTCACATACTTTTCTTTAGGAAAAGCTAACGCTAATCTGTAATACTTTCAACCAAAAAGATTCATTTAAGAAAAGAGAAAATCTAACACTATTTGTTTAAAACAAAAAAACCTTCACTCATTCACATCTTCCTGATTCCAAACCTATTGTGACATCATAGCCAGAGAATGACACCTTTGCTCAGTACTTGAGTTCTTGATCTCAATCACAAAGCCCCATAGCATGTGAAGAGCTCTAAGGAATCTGACAGAGGAAACAGAGTTAGTTAGTTAGTTAGTTAGTTAGTTAGTTAGTTAGTTAGTTATTTTGCTAATCCTCACCGGAGGATAATTTTCCATTGACTTTTAGAGAAAGTGGAAGGAAGGGGGAGAGACGGAGGGAGAGAAACATCGATGTGAGAGAGACACATCGATTGGTTGCCTTCCACACACGCCCCAACCAGGGCCAGGGATCGAACCTGCAACCAAGGTGCGTGCCCTTGACCGACATCGAACCCAGGACCCTTCAGTCCTCCAACTGATGCTCTATCCACTGAGCCAAACCAGCCAGGGCAGTGAGGAAACATATTTAAATTAAACCCAGTTTGTCAATCGTAGGGTGTATGAAGTCCTTTCCTCATATAGTGACCATCACTCTCCCACTGAAATACCAGTTCCGAGATGAAAAGCTTCAGTGATTCTAGATACCCAGCCATTCCCTCCCTGCCCAGGCTGCAGGAGAAGGTCTGGGCAGGTGGCTCAGCCGCTGTGGCCCATCCCAGGTGGCTGCGTGGTCCCACCACCAGCCCAGCGCTGCAGGCAGTCACCGGAAGTAACTCCTCCTACTGAGCTGGAGTTGGTGCAACCCAAGAACTGGCCTGTTTTACTATTGATCGTTTAGGTCTTTTCCACTAAAACTGGACTAAGATTAAAATACACATTAACAGGGTTTAAATGGCATATTTCTGTTTGTTCAATCATTTAAAAATATTATTTAAAAATCTCCCCCACTCCAGAATTGTCAGATTCTTGCCATCAATGAACCTATTGAACCTTCAACACCAAGCTAATCATTCATTTAAAAGGGTATGTTGAGAAAATTATAGCCCTAGCCGGTTTGGCTCAGTGGATAGCGCATCAGCCTGCAGACTGAATGGTCCCAGGTTTGATTCCAGTCAAGGGCACATGCCTGGGTTGCGGGCTCGATCCCCAGTGGGGGCCGTGCAGGAGGCAGCCAATCAATGATTCTCTCTTATCATTGAGGTTTCTGTTTCCTTCTTCCTCCCTCTGAAATCAATAAAAATATATTTTTTTAAAAAAAACTGGAAGGAAATGAAACAGGAGAAACATGGCGAAGCTGCCTCCCGGTGACTGGTGGACCATGAGGCATGCTCAGGGGAAGCAGTGGGCATTATCCAGCACCTGGGGCTGGGCCCACGGGGAGAACGACCGTGCTGTCAGCAGACTTGGGGACTGTCTAGGAAGGGGCAGTGCTGGTGTCCGGGGGCAGGTGGAGCAGAGATTGGCTGCTACCGATGCTTTAAGAGCTTGAGCACCTGAGTAGTAAGGGTCCTTGGTTGGCCCTACAGCTGCTGATGTCATCACAGCTGCTGTTTCTGTCCATAACCATTCATTGTGTGGGATGTTAAGGCGAGTGGCACTCCCTAGACCAGTGGTCGGCAAACCTAGGCTCGCGAGCCACATGCGGCTCTTGGGCCCCTTGAGTGTGGCTCTTCCACAAAATACCAAGTGCGGGCGCACACGTACAGTGCGATTGAAACTTCGTGGCTCATGCGCAGAAGTCGGCTTTCGGCCTGGGCGAGTCTATTTTGAAGAAGTGGCGTTAGAAGAAGTGGGGGGTGTCGGTCGGTCAGGCGGGCCGCGGGATACGCAGAGCAGGGGAGGTACATTGTTTTGAGGTGCGTTCACTGAGGTCGACCCCTTCCAACTCTCCCATCCACACTCGTCTATCTGAAA